ACCTGGCATTTCCCAACACTTTTTACTTGGACAAGAAATTGATTACTCTTCCGTCCCTTTAGAAATGTATTTAAGGGCCGGGCGTTGGTGGCGCACGCCTTTAATCCCAGCACTTGGGAGGCAGAGGCAGGCGGATCACTGTGAGTTCGAGACCAGCCTGGTCTACCGAGTGAGTTCCAGGATAGCCTCCAAAGCCACAGGGAAACCGTGTCTCGAAAAACAAAAAACAAAAAACAAAAAACAAAAAAACAAAAAAAAAAAAAAAGAAAGAAATGTATTTAAGGGCTGGAGAGCTGACTCAGCCATCAAGAACACGTGCTGCTCTTGCCAAGGTTTGGAGTTGAGTTCCTAGCACCCATGTCAGCTGCTCCCAATTTTCTGTAACTCCAGCTCTAGGGAATCTGATACTCTCTTCTGGCTTCCATGAGCAATTTCGCAAATGCCTGGGATCTGAGCCACCACCTGGGGCCATGTTGGTACCTGAGGGCCATGCTGCTGAGTGACTTGTCCTACCACCTGGGGCCATGGTGACATCTGGGCAGGGCTGCTACTGAGGACAATGTTTGGGCCTGTGGTCCTACCGCAGCTGGGGTCTGTATTGATGTTTTTAACCCGTGTTGTCACTAAAGACCACATGGATGCTTGGGGTCTGGGCTGCCACTAGTGGCCATGTTAGTGTCAAAAGGCTGTGCCACTACGGGGTCCATGCAGATTTGAGTGGCCTGTGCTACTATGGTGTTGTCCAGGCCCGAGCTGCCAAGGGCTGTGTCTGGGTCCCTGGTCCTGGTACAGCTGGGGTCTGTGCTGATTTCTTTAGCCCATGTTACCACTGGGAGGGGGGCATGTGAACCATGTGTGTTGAAATCTGAGTGCCATGCTGAGCTCACAGTGCCTGCTGGCCTTGGGAGAGCTGGCTCTGTCCCACATGAAAGAGCTGGCCCAGATGACCCTGACCCTGGGAGAACTGGCCTGCACTGGGGAGAGATGGGCCTACCACTCACCGTGGGTTTAGGAGAGCTGATCCCCATGGCATGGGTGTGGTGAGAGCTGGTTTCACTCCTCACCTGAGGGTGTTGGTCCTAACTGAGGCCTGGATTGACCAACTCAGCTACCACCCAGGCCCCACATCCAGTGCTTTGAGTTGGCCCACCCCAACATTTACCTCACCTATGACCTGTGAATCTCTTGAAGGGACTGGTCCTGTAGAACCATAGGTGCAGGATCTCCATGACTTGGGCAACAACAGGATGTCCAAGAGGAGTTTTGGGGAGGATGCAGTATTGATAGTGTACTAGAACCCAGAGGCTTTGAACTTGACCAACAGCTCATTACAATGAACATTTGTAAGTTTGGATAAAAGGGTATGTGTGTGTATATATGTATATGGCTATACACACACACATACATACATAGCCTGACATAACACAGTACCACTAAGACAAATTAAGAGGTAATAGAGAAAAGAAAGATGGAGGAGTGACGTACATTTTTTTAAATTAATATTTTTATTTTTTTAAAATTTTCTTTGGGAGCACTGCAAGGGTGGAAGGTGGATATGAAGGGACTGGGGAAAGAGTGGGATTGGGGTGCATGATGTGAAATTCTCAAAGAATCAATAAATTATTTTTTTAAAGAAAGTAGTGTTGTGTAAAAGAAAGTTAGGTTTATGTCACTTTGAGAACTTACAAGACTGCAAGTAGAGTCTTATACCAAGGTGATTGATTATAAATTAAGCTGTGTTAAAGAAAAAAATGCAGCTGGAGAAGGGAATTAGAAAACAAAAAATAAAATTAAGCTTGTTCTTAAGTTGTTTTAAATAGAATCACAAAGATCATTGTAGATTTTTTAGCTCAGTTCTTTGTTTTCTTGTTGTTCACTTTAATATTCTTAGTTTTAAAGTGTTTAATACAGTCAAATATTCTTTAAAAATAAATTGCTTCTGGACGGTGGTGGGATTAAATGCCTTTAATCCCAGCATTTGGGAGGTAGAGGCAGGTGGATCTCTGAGTTCAAGACCAGCCTGGTCTACAAGAGCTAGTTCCAGGACAGACTCCAAAGCCACAGAGAAACCCTGCCTTGACCCCCCCCACAGAAAAAAATTGCTGTTCTTTTTTGTTTGTTTTGTTTTTCCTAGTTTGGGCAGCTAGCATATTTTATCATCGTAAAGTAGACTTCGACCCCTCATAAACCTAGAAAATGAAAAGTATTTGCATGTAGTTTTCTTAGACTTTAATACGTTTTTATGCATCTCTTGTTTTCTTTACTGTTTAGTGGAAAATTTTAAGTTGTGTTAAAGAGCTAACACTGCGACAATTTTAGTTGTGAAATCTACATCTTAGAAAAATTATCTAGTATTAGTTTTTATTTGTATTTATTTTATTAGCTTGCTTTTTGTTGTGTTGTTTTTGGACAGGGTCTCCTTCTGTAGTTCAGGCTGGCCTTGAACTTTTGGCAGTCTTTCTGTCCCTGCCCCTGTGAGTATTAGGACTACAGGTGTGCACCACCATGCTCTGCTTAATACTGAGTTTTCGATTTTAAATCAGTAAGAGCTACTTCTGATCAAAACAAAGCAAAAAGCTGTCTTTTCATGTTTCTGCCACAGGGTGGTGTACTGTAGCTACTTATGGAAATTCTGTTTTTTGATTTCAACAGCCTAATCAAACTAACTTTAAATAGAATCTTATGTATATTCTCCTTGGGCATGCAAATAAACAGTTTATAGCAGTAGATAATCTTTAAAGAGTCTTATTTGAAGAATATTTTAGGGACTTTGATCAATTTTTGTTGCAGTTTTACTTAGACATTTTATTTGGAAGTAATTTTAGACTAAATATCAGACTAATAAAAATCAGACTAGTAAAGGAGAAATCCTTAAAGCATTTATCTAGATTTATTTTTTATTAACATTTTGTCCTTTTTACAACCTTTTATTTATATACACATATACTCTAAAGAATACTATTTGTGTATGTGTGTATGATATGTGTATATCTGCACACATGTGAGGTCAGAGAACAAACATCTCTTCTCCTCTGTTTACATGGGCCCCAGGGATTGAACTCAGGTTGTCAGGCTTGGGTGGCAAGCACCTTTACCTACTGAGCCATCTCTCAGGACCTACATATGGAATCATGTCTGAGTGAGCATTATAATGTGACACATTATCCCTAAATGCTACATTGTGTTTTCAAAAGAACAGTCATAGTCTTTATATAACTTTGAGTATCAATTTCAGGAAATTTAACATTCATAAAAGGCTTCTATCTTGTCTACCATCAGTATTTCAGTTTTCTTTTGATTCAGTTTACTTCAGCCTTTATTCCCCCTCTAGTCAGGTCACTTATGATATCTAATTGTCATGGCTATTTAGATTCCTTTGACCTGAAATCTTTTCGTAGCCTTTTGTCTTTCATTAAAAACATTTAACTTCCCTTACTAAAAAACATGACTCATTTCAATGATGGATTTGTCTGATGATTCATTGCAATATAGGCTACACATTCTCAGCTAGGTTGTAGAGATTTTCTTGGGTCATCTTTGTAGTATTATATATGTCTTACATACTTTTTGGTTGGTGGTAATTTTGGTACATTAATATTAACTAAAGAACTGATACTTAAAAGCATAAAAATTACAGATCTTAATGGAATACTTTGTCATATTTTGATACAAATGTATATTTTTGTGATTTTTTTTAGATACATGCATATGTAGCTAAAATTATGTGCTGTTTGAGGATATATAAAAATGTTTTCTTTAAAGGTTAATCAGCGCTTGGAATAGGTAGTATCTGGGTTTATTGGCATGCTTGAGGTAGAACATTTTAACTTTATTTCTTGCAAAGCTCTGTATTTTGTCTCTGGATTACCAAGGATAATTTTTGATACCTTCCTTGGCACTTTCCAGTCATTATAGTGAAGGAATAAAATCTGAGTAGGTGACATTAGATAGCAAAGAAACATTAAAAATGGAGTCACGAGAATTACAAATCTCACAAGGTTGTTATTAGTACCAGAGCCAAATAAATTTCTTTTAGATAGATATTACTGTTTCTGCCTCATCTCCCATGTGGTGGAATTATTGATGCGAACCATGCCTGGTTCCAAAGACATGGTTTTATAGTCTCTGTTTGAGTTTGGGTTTGTATTAGTGATTTTGTAATGCAAAAATAAACACACACTTGCCAAATACATTGATTGTAAAGAATAATCTTGGCAAAGAAATACTTACAATTCTGTTTTATTCTTAGGCTATGAAAGACTTGTGCTACTGGTAACTAGATAAGATAGTTGTGACTAGCAACATTTCCCACATTATTCCTGCAGTGCTGCTTTTAGGATAGCAACGAAAATTCTCAGAAGGAAATAGTTATCTGATTTGAGAAGATCACTGCTTATCTCACTTGACTATTCACAAATAGTGTGTGGCTCTCTTGAAAAGGTGCTTGTAACATCAGCACTGAGATGGCACAGCACCGTTCAGCTCTGCTGCAGGTTGTGCAGGGAAACTTTTTGAATACTCTTATTTTTGTCTGTTTACTTCGACTGTATATGTGTGTATGTAAGTATATTACATATCAAATGTATTTCCCACATACAGTAGACATCAAAGCATTTGAGGTATGAAATTAGAAGAATATAAAGTAATTTTAATGCTAAAATGCCCATTACATTTAACTGTGAAAATTGGAAAATTATTGGATACTGCTGTGAGTTATGATTTCTTCCGTCAGCTACCCTACAGAGTTTTGGGAGAAAAAACCTTGCATCCATGTTCCCTTAGATTTTTTCCTTGAATTAACAGGGAAGTACATTGCATAAATTACTACTTTATAACTGCTTCTTCTGACACATGTATACACGGTTCTGAGTGCCCCTAATACTAAATTATACCCTGGGGCTTGGAACTCACCCTGTCTCCCTGGTACCTAACATAATTCTAAGAATTTGGACATTAAATGATTGAATACAGTGTTTAAAGTTTTTATTTTTATTGCTTAGGCAAGATTCCTGTGTAGATTCTACTTCATCCCTGAGAGAGAACAAACGACCAGAAGGTTTGGAATCAAAACAAGGTATGGATCAAATACCTAATTTTATATAGCTTTTATCAATAGTAAATTTCCAGTTTCACAGAGAAGGAAATGGAGTACACTTTTGTCCATGATCATGTCTCCTTAGCTGCTGGGTGACACGAGTGTTGTGTGGCTGGCTACAGATGCCACCAGAAACGTTTTACCATCTTGAATGGTGGTGATTTCTATTGTGTATTTTCAGTTGCAAGGTGGAAGTAAGTTAGCTGGAGTTGGGTATGTTTGGGTTGTATGTAAAACAAAGATGATAACTTTGTAGGATAACCAGCCCTCCTCCCTGTGCCAAGATATTTTTCCTCATTTACTTCCTTCTTTAGTGAGGAAATTCCTTTCTTTAAATTGGTTTTGACATAAACAGCTTACAGGTATAAAGTGGTAATTTTAATTTAGTTAAGCCTTATAGCTCAATAGTGCTATTAATTAAAATGCTTTAAAAATTCTTCTCTTTACTAGAACAAATTTATTTATTGTTCAAATGTCATCTCATGTTTTTTCTATTCATTAAAATGATGACTTAAAATTTCTATAAAACTTGAGCTATAAGAACTCCTCAGTAGAGAGAAGCAGGTTTTTATTTCTTTTGGGTTGAAGTCCTGAAGCTTCACTTTGTTACTGATAATTGATTAACAAAGTAAAAAATGTATACTTTAAAAATTTGTTATATATATCTAATATATACATATACAGTCTAGATTGTAAAAATGCATTGGTGTTTATTAATGTTTCTGATACTCTTGGAAATTGTCCAATGCTTTTTAGAAATTTTCCTGTATCAGGCTTATAAATAGCCAAACAAAATTATGTATTTGTACTTTGACTGCTGAACATCCTCACACTTAGAAACTGAAATTTGGTTCATCAGCATTTCTTTGTCATAGAAATACAAGCTATAAACAAATGTTTTCAGTTAGTATAATTATGATCATCTATCCCTCTTTATACTTCACATATAATTAGACCACAGTGCTATTGTAGCTTTTTCCTTTCTTTTTATTTTTGAGACAGAATCCTGCTTTGTAACCAGGCTGGCCTTGAACTTCCGATCCTCTTGCCTTTGCCTCACCAGTGCTGTAAATAGGCTTATAACCACCATATGCTCAGTCTGCTATTACCACTTTCTTTTGTTCCTAAAGTTCTTGGTATTGACTGAGTAAAGAGGATGTGAGTATGCTGTTAGATTGTCTAGGGGAAAATAATATATGAAGAATAGAAAAGGCCGGAATAAGGCAGGTTAACTCTAGTTTCAGGAGAAAAGAAGCCAGAAACTCCACTGCACAATTTACACCAAGACTCACTCTCTAAGGAGAGATGTATTTGACTCCATGTTCAGACATGCAGAGTTCTTACGAACTCCATTGCAATATCAATAGCCTGTTTTGCTGTGATTTTCCTACAATAAGTAACTAATCATTTGAAAACCAGCTATAGAAAAGCCAAGAGGAAGACCTATGCATTTTGTATTTAGGAGCTTGGAGATTATACTTAGTTTCCTAATAAGCATGGGAAGCACACCATTGGCAATAGGCAGACATAAGAAAGATGAGGTCACAGAATGGAAAGACTACTGTACAAAACAGTTTGTGCTAAGATTGTAACTAACCTGAAGAAAACTGTTACATTTGCAACATTTTTCTTGCTGTTGTTGTTGTTGTTGTTGCTGCCGTTGGTTTTGTTTTTTCCCGTGGATGAGGATGGAACCCAAGAAAGAATTCATGTATGCTAAGCAAGTGGTCTACCCTTAAATCACAGTTCAGTTTTACCCTACTTTAAAAGAAAACAGAAGTAAAGTTGTTTTTAAGAAAATGTTTGTAAGTAAAATATAAAATGCTTTGCCACTTAGTAGGATAAGAATGAATTATCTGGAAGTTTTATTTATGCACAAAAACTGGTCTGAACCAGATTGTAAGTAACTTCATAAGGTTTCCTAAAAATCATGCTTTATTAGGAAATAGAAATGCTGAAGCTCAAAAAAGATAGCTTTCTCCCCCTTTTTCTAAATGAAAAACATTATTTTCTATTTGTAATTTGTGAAACTCTGAAATATAACGCTATAGCTGAAACTTTTCCTACGTAGTTAGCCATTCTGCTTACAATAAGCTTATTAAAAATAAAATGTCACGCCAGGTGATGGTGCAGCACGCCTTAAATTCCAGCACTCAGGAGGCAGAAGCAGGTGGATCTCTGTGAGTTCTACAGAGAGAGTTCCAGGACAACCAAGGCTCCACAAAGACACAAACCCTGTCCTAGAAAAAAAAAAAAAAAACCCAGAAAAACAAGAAAACACTCCTTGGAAATGAATTGTTATTTTATGACTTGACCATTTAAGATTAATCTTTCAAGTTTAGTTCTAAAGTTCAATACACCAAAATATGAAGTAGCAGTGAGTTTTCTGTTTGTTCTTTCAGTATAAATCTTATTATGATCTATTATTTCTATGTGGAACAGACATGTAATTTAAATTACCTTTTTAATTTTTTTTCAGTTTCTAAAAGGCTGAAGTATTATTTGAGTAGTTATCCAGGTAGGACTTGGACATTCACTCTCAGTTAAGTTGCTATTTCTTTGTTAAGTACTGATAGGACATAGTATGTTTGAAATTAACAGAACTAAGGATGAATATTGAGTTTATAAAATAACCTTTACTGTACTGATGCTGATAACTAGAGATCTACTTTTACCATGCAGGTATAATATTGGTTGATTGATTGGAACTGTAGTAAAATTAAAACTCTTCTGTTAGAAATAATTTCTTAATTCGTTCATTTTTTCAGCCAGAGCATAGTTATATAAGGAAAATCAGTTGTAGTCTTTTTTTGTTGTTGTTGTTGTTTTTTCTGAGACAGGGTTTCTCTGTGTTATAGCCCTGCTGGTCCTAGAACTCATACTGGCCTTGAACTCATAGAGATTCCACTGCCTCTGCATCCCTAGTGCTGAGATTAAAGGTGTGTGACACCAACAACCGGCTACAGTTTTGTTGTTTTAGCACAGGCACGTGTTTGTGTATACATGAGTATGCACCTGGGTAAGCTTATTATGAGCTTGAGATCTTAGGTTTTCCTAGAGTACCAGTTATTGTATTGTTGAAAAGACTTAGTGGGGCTTTTAAAATAGACATGGAATATTTAAATTTAAAAAATGGACCATTTGTGCTGTAGATGGAAAAATGAAAATTTCTGTTTAATGAAGGCAATGTGTAGAAAACATTTTTAGACTTTTAAGTCCATCTTTGGTATTGTAATGAGTTATTTTCCTATAGACTTATTTATAAGGACATTCAGCAATATTAAAGAACAGGTCTGTTCATGTCTTGGGGATATTTTAACTTCAAAAATTAAGTTAAGTCTATGCTTGCATTACTTCTTTGAAGTTGTAATGTTACAAAATTAAAACCACACTTTAAAAAGTGGATATTTAGGTTAGTGAGAAGAGTTGGGAGGTTTATTGTTATTGTTATAAAACATTTGAAAAGTTGTTAAATAGAAAAGTCATTAGTTTTTTCTGTATTTCTCATAAGGATGAAAATAGAGTAGACAAAAATATCACTAGACCAAATTTTGGAGTTTATTTCTCATTATCAGAAGTATCAGAAGATGCATTGGATTGCCTCCTTCCTATAATGGAAGGTACTTGAATGAAGATTGCATAAACCACCACCTGGTGGTGCTGTTGTACAGCAAACTCAAGCAATGCTTGACTGGCCTTTTTCTGGAAGTTTCTTTTAAACTGTCAGATTTTGTAAAGATCAGTGCCTACTAGTGCATTGTTCTTGGGCAGGGTGTTGAATATGTTTTCTTTCTTTGTTTAATAGTAGAGCAAACTATACAAACTTTCTTCTGTTATCGCTACTTTTTTTTGTTGTTACATTAGGAAAAAGGGTGCTTGATTTACTCCATTCTATTTATGATTCTTTGAAATATGTTCACTGGAATCTAGGTATTAAAGTAAATAATATAACCATAGAGTACATAAAATTATCAGTGTCAGTAAGGTATTTGCTGTATTTTCCTTTGAATCGTATCCATTCACTTTTTTTCAAGTGAAATTAGAGAAATACATATACATATAAAAAGTGCACATAAGATTTGTGCAGTGGTTAGGCTCAAATTTTATCATTTAATCTAGTTGGCTCTTATATCCATAACGTAGTCTTTGAATTCATAGTTAATGAGTGCTAGACAGCATTAAGGATTGCTTGACTGAGCTAGGAGTGTGGATCAGTAGTAGAATACTGGCCTAGCATATGCAAGGCCCTGGGTTTAGTCTCCAACACTGCAAAAAAATGTTAATAAGAGCTTCAAGAATTTGAAAGTCAGACTTTAGTAGGAATAAAATGTTTGTCAGTGATTAAGCTATGTGGTGATAGCTTTATTTTTAAATGAGCTTTCAGCCATTCAGACCAGTGATCACTAATAATGTATGCTTATCATATTTCCAGAGTTATAGGAGGAAATGCCTAAATTTATATAGTAAATTTTTTTATTATTATTATTATTTTCATTTTAAATAGCTTGTTTTACATGTCAATCCCAGCTCCCCCATCATCCCCCCCAGCCTCCCACCTTATCGCCATTAACTTCCACATAGGGGATATCTAGAGTCTGTTATTTCACTCAGGGCAGGGTCCAGGCACTTCCCTAAGAGTCCAGGCTGAGAGAGCATCCCTGTTTGTGTTATGGACACATGATGTCTGTATGCCAGGGATAAACACTGATCCACTGCTCAGGGCCCCATAGGTTGCTCAGGCTCCTTACTGACTCTCACATTCAGGTATATAGTAAATTAATAGTATAAGCTAAGGATGTTTTATGTCTTTCTCCTTAATCTTTTTGATTATATATAGTATACATATACAACGTTTATATAATGGTATAAACCAGTTGATAAGAATATAAAATATATGTGTTAGTGTAAGTATTTAAAACAGTTTTCCCTTACAGACAGGCTAACAGACTATAAATTATCAAAGAATTGCAGGGACTAGAAAATGGAGAAATATTATCAGTGGTTCTCATCCTTCCTAATGCTGTGACCCTTTTATACAGTTCTTCATGCTGTGGTGACTCCCAACCATAAAATTACTTTGTTGCTACTTCATAACTGTAATTTTGCTACTGTTATGAATTGTAATATAAATGTCTGATATACAGGATATCTGATATGAGACCCTCCCCCAGGCAGGTGAGACCCACAGATTGAGAAACAGGTTGTGTAGCAGTTAGACAAAGAGATGAAAGTATCAACGAAGCAGATTTTATCTCAGATTACATTCTAGAGGTCTATAGTATAGCATCATGATTATACATCAGCATGTTGAATGGACTCTTGAAAATGGCTGAGAGAATAGATCCCAAATGTATTATGTGGTAGTGATATCATAGCTTAATTTAAATATGCTACAATACACAGGTAGGACAAACACCATGCCATGTGTCCTGTCTCTTTTGCCTGCCAGTCACATCTTAAAACTTGGGGAAAATAATTAGTAATGGCATACTTAGTTTTTATTTCTAACATTTTTAAAGTTATGTAAAAATATTTTGTTGCCATTTAGCAGAAGAATTAAGTATAAAACATGGTGAGGTCCTTTGAATTCTGAAGATGAGGGATAGTTAGAAAAAAACAACTAATTCTTGATCTTGCTACCATTGCTGATCTAATGGAGTCCTACATTGGGAGAAACTAAAATAGGTAGATAGAGATTATGACGAAGATCCCAAAGAAGTGAATTTGCAGTTACAGAGGCATCCAAGAACCAGCTGAGGGAGTGCCTGTTTGTAATCCCAACATTGTATGCTGAGGCAGCAGGAGAACAAATTCCAGGCCAGCCTGGGCTAAATAGCAGGACCCCATCTCTCAAGAGAGACAAAAGGGTGAGATTGCTAAAAAGAACTTCACAAGTATAGATGAAAACAGTTGTAGAAAGTTATGGAAAGTCAGATGCCGCCAGAGTTGTTTATTCTAGACAGGAATGAAAAGAGAAGGGTTATCAGCTAATGAAGTAGCTTTGTTGCTTGTGTGTTTTAAATCTCTTCCTTGTATGTGTTGCCACAGAAATCTCTGGATTGGCAAATCCACTCCTTCTTAGAAGACCTGCGTGCGTTTGTGGTGTGAGTGTTAAAGAGCTGTAGGAGACTGAGAAGAAAGTTGTACAAAGAAGTCTGGAGTTGGGAGCACAGGGGTGTGTGTACTATTTTATTTTTAAAAGCCATGTGTACTTCCTTTTCTTCTGAGCTCCTGTCTTATGTTCTTACCGGCTTTCACAAGTAAGTAGTCATGCAGGTTGGTCAAGTAAGAAGAGATTGTGGCGTAGGCCAACCTGGCAAGACCTATATAGGAAGACCCTGTTCCTTCCTACTCTGAGAAAAATAATTGTACTCTTTCATTGTCAGAAATGGAAACAGTGTTCTTCCTACTTTAAAAAATTATGATTGTTATTCTTACTATTTTTCTGAGACTGGATCTCACTATGTAGTTCTGCTCACCTGGAACTCATTATGTAGACCAGGCTAGCCTAGGACTCAGAAATCTAACTTCTACAGCCTCTCAGATACTAGTATTAAAGGCTTGTGCCACCTAGCCCATCCTCCCTTAAATTACTTATTACTGTTTTTTTCTTGGTATGGTATATGTTCATTTGTTTATGCATAGTCACATGTAAGTGGTCGTGTGTGTGTGTGTGTGCGCGCACGTGTACACACGCACTCACATATGTTTCTCATATTCTTCTATTACTTTGCACACTTTTTTATTGAGGCAAGGATCTCAGTTGAACCAGGAGCTCACTGATTGGCTAGATTAGCTAGCCAGCTTGTTCTGGAGATTGGCTGTTCTTGCTTCCTCTGCAGCCACCATAAGTGCCTGGCTTTGAAAACATGGGTTCTGATGATCCAAACATTGGTCCTCATGCTTATTTGGTCAGCTACTTCTCCCAGTTTCCATCCCATTTTTTTTTAAAGATTGATTTATTTATTATGTATACAGTGTTCTGTTTGCATGTATCCCTGCGGGCCAGAAGAGGGCACCAGATCTCATTACAGATGATAGTGAACCACCATGTGGTTGCTGGAAATTGAACTCAGGACCTCTGGAAGACCAGCTAGTGTTCTTAACCTCTGAGCCATCTCTCCAGACCCCCCTTTTCCACTTTTTAATTCATAAATGAAACAATGAAAATACATTTTGTATTGTTAATTAGTTTTTGTATCTTTTGAAGTGTAAGAATTTTCTACATTAAAAAAGTAAATTGTTGGTTGGGCATTGGTGGTACACTCCTTTAATCTCAGCACTCAGGAGGCAGAGATAGGCGGATCTCTGTGAGTTCGAGGCCAGCCTGGTCTACAGAGTGAGTTCCAGGACAGCCTCCAAAGCCATGCAGAGAAACCCTATCTGGAAAAACAAAAAACAAACAAAATCGTCAAGAATTTTGTACCCATAATGTCCTATCCTTTTAATACTGGAGCTAGGGTTATAGTATGTATCCTACCTCAGCCTCTAAATACTGGGATTATAGGCTTGGGCCAC